CCTCCCCGCCTGCCTCTCCCCCCTGGCCCTGTGTCCTCAGGCAAGTTGCTGAACTTCTCTCGGAAGGTGCTAATAGCACCAGCATTTCGGGCTGCTGGGAGGATGAAAGGAGATTAAGGACTTCATGGTGCCCATCGGGGCAACCACTGAGCGAAGTGAGTTCTTTTCTCCAACTACTTTCCTATTCCAAGCCAGAGCTGCCATTTAGACGGTCTGTTCCAATGAGAGGAAGTGGGAAGCCAGGTTTCCCAGGGGAGCAATCAATGCCCAGCGAAACGCGAGCACTCCCAGGCATGAACTTGAGCTGGCTGTCCAAATGCCTCCGTCCTGTCACTTCATTTGGTTTCACGTCACTCAGCCTGGGGAGTGAGTTAGTGGCTGAACTATTCCTTGGAGGATATGGGAACCATGCAGAAACCTTCAAATCAAGATTTAGGCCCCAGCTGGTGTGGCTCCGTGGATAGAGCATTGGCCTTCGGACTAAAGGGTCCCGGATTTGATTCCGTCAAGGGCACATGCCTGGGTTGCGGGGCCAATCCCCACTGGGGGGTGTGCAGGAGGCAGCCGATCAATGTTTCTCTCTCATCCTTGATGTTTCTATCTCTCTCTCCCTCTCCCTTCCTCTCTGAAATATAAATAAATAAGTAAAATTATTTATCAATAGCAGCTAGCTCATCATAGAATTCAGTTCTAGAAAGAACTGCCCGCCTACGGGCCCTGAAGTGGCCCGGAGAACCACAGCATCCGTCTGAAACGACAGAGCGAGGCTCCCATGAGCGTGGTCATGTGGGAGCCATGGCTTGACGCGCTGCATGTCCTGTCCAACCGCTGGAACAGTCACACCTGGACACGCCTCCAAGGTGTGAGGACGAGCCCCCAGCACTGCACGGGGCCGGCCACCTGCTGACCCCAATGGCATGTCCATGGACCAACCTAATCGTTCCCGTTTCAGGCTGTTGTTCATCCTCACAATGGCATTTGATTTAAATGGAGAGAAAGGTAAGAGATAAGCAACATAGATTATTGCTTGAGAAAATGTCAATTTCTGTGATATTCCTGCCTGGGCACTCCTGGTAGGAGGAACTGTGGCTTGTTCCTCTTTATGACATCATCGAGAATCTTCATGTATGTGCATCAATAATGATGGTTTTAACTTTTTTACAAATAGGGTCATCAGAAGATGTATTGTTGCACGTCAAGCACCAAAATATTCCGGGAAGACTTACATCGTGTACAGTGAAACAGCCTTTCTAGTCAGCCCCTTAAAGATGCCACTGATTTGCTAACAGTGTAGGTATAGTAAAGAGCTGTTTTAAAGACGGGGTTTTCCATTCTCACACACACACCCAAGAAGAAACTGTCAGGAACTTAAAAACACTCTCCCGAGGGGCCCATCAGACAAACCCGGAGGGAGGGAGCGGGAGGGGCAAGCCTCCTCCTCACACTCCGGCCCTGTCCTCCCCGAGGGCCTCCGCCCTCACGTCAGGGCCGCCCACTCCTTTCTCGGCGCTGTTCCTGGCTTGAAGCTCTGCCATGTGTGGGGGGAAGGGCCGCCCACTCCTTTCTCGGAGCTGTTCCTGGCTTGAAGCTCTGCCATGTGTGGGGGGAAGCAGAGGACCCCGGGGGTGAAGGCCCTGGAACCCAGAGCTCTGCCACTCCCCTGTGCGCAGGACCCCTCCCCTCCCTGCTCCTCTCAGCCTGCCCTGGGCCTGGCCGCACAGAGTGAGCGCAGGGATGTTCCCCTCCCGGCCCCGCGGTGCCCCAGGACCAGAGCGAAGTCCCGTCCTCTCCATCTTCAGGGGCGGAGGGTCCCTCTCCCACTAACGCTGTGACTGTCCCAAGTGCTGCCAGTGCCGCTGCGGACCCCCATGAGCTCCGCCTGAGGCCATACTCACTGGAGCGGTCATAGGTGTCATCGAACACCACCCTGCAGGTCTTGCCGTTGTTCAGGATGCTCTTGCAGGAGGCGGGGTCGTAGGAGGCCGACCACGGCTGCAGGGAAGAGTCGTACTTAATGTCCTTCGTGTGCAGCGCGATGGGCGACTGGTTGTCTCCCTTGGCGATTGGGTAAAGCTCGTGCCAGTGGTCAGGACCTGGGCAGGTGGGGGGGGGGTTGTTAACTCGGGGCACAATGCGGACCCTCGTTCTAGTGAGGAACCCGCGTGGCTGCGAGGGGCGTGGATGGCAGCCGGGACCCAGGCTGCGCGGAGGCAGGGGCTCCTCCTGCACCTGGAGACTGAGCCGCCTGCGCTCCAGGGCCCAGCCTCGCGGCTGCAATGGACGCAGGGCCACCTCCTGCCGTCCGGCTGGACTGAAAGACTGGCCCCAGGGGGTGCTCAGAGCCCGCCCTGTGCCCGCACCTGGCTGAGAGGTGAGTGCCTGCCGCCCGGACTTGGGGCCACTCGGAGCTGGACCTGCGAGGTCTGGCTCCTGGGAGGCAGCGTGGCCGTGGGAAGGGAGCCAGCCCGCTCCCGCAGGGAGTGACACCAGCTCCGCGGGAGGGCTGCCCAGATGAAGGCAAAGGGGCAACGTTGGCGCTGCGTGGTGTCCCCATCCGACCCCTCCACCCATGTTTTCTGGAGCTGCCCGCGGTCTGCGGTCTGCGGTCTGCACAGTGCAGGGCGCCCCGGACCCGTTGGGGACTCACCATTGTGGCTGGCGTAGCCCCACTCCTTGGCCATGGTCGTGCTCGCTGGTGGCTGCTGGTGGCTGCTGCCCGCTGTCTGCAGAGTCCGCGGTCTGCAGAGGCCCCGCGCTGAGCGCCTTTTATCCAGCTCCCCACACCCTGCATGGCCTTATTAGGTCAGCAAGGAGGGCGGGGGGCTAGGCTGGCTGGGGTGGTATTCAGGAGGCGGGGTGGGGGAGCCAATGAATGCCAAGGGCTGACAGCTGTCGGGTGGGGTGGGCGGAGGTCCCCATGCCACCCCCGCTCCAGTCCCATCCCCTGGAGCTGCGAGGCTGCCCCGCCCTCGATCCTGGGCACAGATGCGGCGCCTTTCGCCTGGTGCCCCCTCCCCTGGCACCATGCATTATTTTGGGGGTAAACAGGGTGTTGCAGTCGCGCTCAGCTGCCACCTAAGACACCCCCCTCCCCCGGGCGCTGGCGGCGGCTGTGCGCTCCGGACCCTGTGACGCCCTAGAAGGAAGCGCCTGTTGGCCAGCGGTGCGGGCTCCCTTGCAGGGACTTAAAAAGTTCTAGGAGCGCGGGCGCGGGTGGGAGGAAGGCCGGGGAGAGCATTATCCTGGAGCCTGAGGAAGCCGCCTGTCCTGGCGTCCCGCAGACCCGGGGTCCCCTTGGCCGGGAGCGAGCTGGGCTGGACCCTGGGACCACAGAGTGGCAGTGCCTGGGACCCCAGCTCCCCGCTGCACCCCTGCCCAGGGGAAGTGAGAGCCCTCTGCAGGCTGAAAGGCATGCACACAGTGAGCCTGCTGCTTGAAACCGCGACCTCGCTCTCTAGGACAAGCCGAGAAATTAGGAGAAAAGGCGCCAGGGGGGTGGGGGGCGGGGGGTCCAGCGTTGCGCTGCTTCCCTCCCTCTCCCAAGTTGTTTATAACGAAGATCCAGGCGAAAGGAGAGGAGCCGGCCCCGCAGGGCCACGTGCCAGGGAGATCAATGTCTGCTGTGGCGCACAGGGAAGGAGTCAGTGGGGTCGATATTTATATTCTCAACTTCTCCTTAGCTCCAGGCAGTCGTGATGCAAAAAGACGCCCGAGAGGCGCCCGCTGCAGAGCCCTCCCAGGCTGCAGCCGCAGGTCCTGCTGATCTGACTGCTATGGGCGCTGTTTCGCCTGTGGGATTAGGAAGCTGGAAGAGGAACTCGCATGGGGCTAGCTCATCCCCCAGGCATGTGGAAAGACTGAGCCGCTCATAACCTGGACGCCAGGGGAGTCACTCCCCGGGTATTTTTGTGCCGGGATTACTGGATCCACACAATAGCCCTGTGGAATCAAGAACCCAGATAGTTCGGAAAATTCAAGCAAACACAGCAAAGCTACTGCCCTTAGACCCAGCTCAGATGTCCGGCTGGGTGAGACAGTCTACGGCATTGGGCTGTCTGGGCCGTTTTCTGCTTTTGCTGGGATAGTGTGGTTGAGGAAGGTGTTTTATATTTGTTGAGGGCATCATTATTTCTATTAGCAAACTATAACCTTGTTCAATTAATTAAATTGTTACAATCACTTTTTCTGGTACATGTGGTTAGAAGATTGGTAACTGAATTTCATGCTATTTGACATAGTTGTAATACAGATAAAGTGTTTAATATAATAAAGTCTTTATACCAGGCAAACCCAACAATCTAGGAATTCTTCATATTGTTACTGTTTAGTCATAGAAGGAGCTTAAAAATGGATTTTCATAATTAAGTTAAAAGAATGCACAATGAATAAATAATAAAAGACTTGCACAATAGCACATAATTTCAAATAAACGCTAGGTAAAATATGCAAAGTGAAATATTTAATAATTTTCGGTGTGCCATCTTGAAAAATGGTGATTGGTGTTTTCATTGTACTTTCTTATAAGAAAGTAATAAAATTCGAAATTTCAAGACAATTTAGATGAAATCATGTCAGTTCTGACCACTATACACTTTTCAGAAACCACAAATTAATCATCTGCATCTTAATTGATTTACTCCATCATGTTTGTCTACAAATTTCAAAATTCCCTGTTGACAGAGCAAAGAGATCATTCTAAATTGTATCCAAGATTTTGAGATTTCTGGAATGGCTTAAAAAAGAAAACTGTTAGGTACACACTGAGATGAATAGTGCCAGCGAAGCAATGAGGAATGATTAACTACAAATGATCTCCCAGCATCCTGACTGCTTCTCCCAGCACTGCTACCTAAAGCTGATGCATTGAGCAATTTGTAGGACCACCCCCCACCCCCCAATGAATATGTTCATACAGAGGTAGGAGGAAGGGAGGGAAGGAGGGAGACCAGGGAAGAAGGGAGGGAGAGGGGGGCGGAATATGAAAAGAACAACCCAGGAGGGTAATGTGGGTAAACAGAAGTTTGAGGGGAGTCTCTGATTGTGGAAGTTTCAACTAGGCTGTACGCTAAATTTATAAACTTGAAAGACCTAAGGTGATATAACATTTAAATATATTTTTACTCTTGATTTGGTATTTTATTTTGTAAGATACCAGGCAATAACTCAGCTAAATCTTCTGCAAGTTGATAGCATTTAGTGCTTCTAGTACATCAGGAAAAATAAAGGGAGAAGCTGCCTCCCAAAACATAAATTAGGATTTGAAGTCATTACATAATTGTGCTCAAATATTTTATATGCTACAAGGGCCTATATTTTTTACCACATTTTTATTTTTAGAGAATGAGTTCTGTGATCTAAATATAAAAATAAAGCTCAATCACTAATCATAAAGTAAAAATATTTAAAATCAAAGAAATATAATAAAAATGAAATAAATTTGATAAAAATCAAGTCTTTTACATCTAAAACACTAAATATAATAAAAATAAAATTTTTAAATTAATCTAGTTAACTGTCATACATAACACAACTTGTACCTTCCTCCCTGAAATGTCGTTCTTTTGTTTTTTTCTTTTTGTTTCTTCCCAAAAACATTGTGAACACGGCAGGCCCAGGCTCCAGTGCGACCCCAGTGACAGCTGAGCCACTTGATGGGCCTTCCATTTAGGCTCTGTTCAGGGCAAGTTCACCGTGAGCTCCCACCGAGGCCTGGCCCGCGGTGTCCCTGGCTCAGTGCACCCCCTGGGACAGCCTCCCCTGAGGCTGAGAGCAGGCAGTTTGGGGGGGGTGCAGGGGTGCGGGGGGGAACCCCAAGCTCTGCAGTGAGACCTAGTCCTCAGGGTTCACAAACTCAAGCTCTTCTCTTTTATTCTTTTAAAATGTAGTGATTGCATGTTCCATGGAGGAAAGCTCATGCATTACATGTTGGAAACCTTTGCTTAGGATCAGAGTTAGATGGCGGAGTCTCATTTCCACTAACGTAGGATCGTCTTTGCTTGCGAGATGAACCAGGGGACTGTGTTTTGTTTCGACATTTCGTAGCCGGTAGATGGCCATTTGCCTCAATGTTTCTGGGGCCTCAGAAGTGTGCTCTGAGCAATGGGGAGGGGGCCTGTCTCCCAGGGCCAGTGCGCTTCCCGGGAGAAGGCGGGCGCCCTGGGCCGCCATGCAGCAGACTTAGTGCCTCATCTGGCCTGGGCCCCTTTTTCTAAAATATGAACTGTGATGAGAACTAAAAAGAAAATGATTCCAACAAAGTGTAGCACTTCTTTGGTATATTATTTGATAAATGAGCTGTTAAAAGTGAGATTCAAACTTCTTTAGACGTAATTGGGGTTTTCAGACGTCCGCCCTCCCTGCTTTCCAGCGGCCTCAGCCTCCCTCTCCCAGCCTCCCTCTCCGAACAGGCCTTGGCTCCACTGTCCTTCCCATTCTGCCTGCGAAGGCCACCTGCTCACACCCACAGTTGCGGAGGCGGCGAGGCCACCCCTGTGAGACCTCTCAGCAGATATTTCTGCTCCTTTAAGATCAGTGCTCTGGGAGGCCTGCCTTCCCTCCCCAAAGATAGTCTAACTCAGTGATGGCGAACCTTTTGAGCTCGGCGTGTCAGCGTTTTGAAAAACCCTAACTTAACTCTGGTGCCGTGTCACATATAGAAATTTTTTGATATTTGCAACCATAGTAAAACAAAGACTTATATTTTTGATATTTATTTTATATATTTAAATGCCATTTAACAAAGAAAAATCAACCAAAAAAATGAGTTCGCGTGTCACCTCTGACACGCGTGTCATAGGTTCACCATCACTGGTCTAACTCAAGGCTGGGCCCTGCTGGAGTTGCAGTGACTTTTTTGTGTGATTTTAACCTCCTTTGTGGGGATACTGTCTCCGATATGATGTGAATTATTTCGCTTCACTGGGAAAAACCAGGCACCAACCTCACCTCCATGGAGGCTAGAAAAGCCCCTGCTTCCCGTGGGGGCTGCTGCCTGGCCACGCGGTGGCTGCTCAGGGCGGTCGTAACTGCCGGACCCTTCGCACCAGGCGAGTGACACGTGTGCAAGCACCTGGAAACGCCCTGTCTCATTGGTCATTGTTCTCACTTTACACATTTAACTGAATAAACATTTAAGAGCTGGGAGTTTTCAGGACATCATTTTAAAAACTACAAGGGCTATTTTGCAAAGCACAAGCCTGGTAAATCTAAAACCAGGGCCCCTTAAGACATTAAGAGACAGTAGAGATGACTTTTCATCAAATTTCTGAAGAATATAGCAGCAAAACATCTGCATTGTTTGAATTTTTATAGCCTTTAAAGTCACTGAGTATTTCTTTATCTTTCCAAAGTAATCAAGACTAACAGAAGTCTTGGAATTAGTGGAATACACCACACAGCTATTTTATCCTATTTATTCCAAATGAATAATAAAGTTTAAGTAATCTATTTTCAAGATATTTTATGTTGATATAATTGCAAAATTTTCATAGTTTTTTCAGTCTAATTAAGGTATAATGGACGAATAAAATTATAAGCTACTTAAAGTGTACATTTCTTGTTTTGTATAAATTTATTAAAATATGAGATAAATTATTTTAAAAGTAAAGTATGCATCCCGATTAATTGTTCTGCATATACATTGTGCAAGGACTCCTGCCGTCTATTTAACACACCATCACTCGCCTACTTACCCCTGTGTGTGGTGAACACTTAAGTTCTGCTCTCAGCAGATGTCACTTATACAACAGCGTTAGCGCCTCGACCTTATCCA